GAGCCTGGTGGGAAGGCGACCCCCGGGACACGTCTGCGGCTTTCCTTCCCCGGCTGGCTCAGGGGTGTGATGACGCCCGGACGGTACTGCCTCTCACGGCCCTTCACAGGGTCACTCCATCCGGGTGCTGAGTGACTGTCCTTCCCGAGCACCGTCACCGCAGGTGCGGGCACAGGTGTGCTTTTACGTAAGAATCGCGGGAATCCCGATAGCCAGGTGTATCTGTGACGGCCACGCTCAGGCTTGGAGATGCTGCGGAGGGTGTGGCTTCAGAGAATTAGGGAGACCTTTAAGCCCAAGACCCGGGGGGAAGCAAGGACTGGGCTCGCACCCTCTTCACAGACCCCCTTGTCACCCTCAGAGGCCCCAGGGAGCAGGGACCAGGGCGGTGGACGGAGCCCCCACGCAAAGGACCAGCGAGGAGCTGATTCGAAGGGTCCTCTGCCGACGGGGCATCTGAGGGAGTGGACACAGACCCTGAGGTTCCATGGGGACCACCTGGTTCTCTCCACCCTTCACCGCTTTACACACGAGGAAGCTAGAGTTCCAGAAGGAAACCACACAACACGGTGGAAAGCTCAGCTCAGCCAGAGACAGACCACGCGGGACCCAGGGGTCCACCGGGTTGGGCCAGCCCGGCTCCCCGGCAGGGTGGTTGCGGGGGGGGGGGGTCCCTGGAGGCCGGCCTGCCCACTCTGAGCGTGAGGGTGGCAATAAGGGAGCCACAGAGGCCTGCCTTGCCGGAGACACAGCCTCTGCGTGAACTTTCCCGGGCTGCCGGGAGGGGCCGAAGCGTCTTCCCAGACCCGGGACGCTCACGCACCGCGGTGATAACTCCGTGTCCGAGAGCTGGACGCCCTGTGATTCCAAGCTGGGAGCACCTCTCAGAATTCCGTCCGTGAACGTCACCACCAAACCCATCACCGCATCTGAGGAAATCAGACCCTTCGGGGTGAATTGAAGCAAAGAAAAAAAATTCTGCACCTCTCACGTGCCCAAGCGCTCGGCCAGGCACGCGGCATTTATCTTAAATGTTTGAAGCGTTTTTTAAAATGTTTATTTACTTATTATTGAGAGGGAGAGAGCACGCGAGCAGGGGCAGGGCAGAGAGAGAGGGAGAGAGAGAACCCCAAGCAGGCTCCACACTGTCAGCACAGAGCCGGACGCGGGGCTCCAAGTCACGAAGCTCGAGAGCATGACCTGAGCTGCAACCAAGGGTCGGACGTTTAGTCAACTGAGCCGCCCAGGCGCCCCCCTAGGCATGCTACACTTCAACAAATGTCCTCTTATGAGACACGTATTATTATCCCCATTTCATTGATGAGGAAACTGAGTCCGATAAAGGTGAAATTACCCCCATTTCATTGATGAGGAAACGGAGTCCGATAAAGGTGAAATAACTCACCCGGGAATCGGTAACAGGACCTGTGTCCTGCTCAACTCTCCATTCGTGTGTGCAATGAATCATTCGTTCAGTATTTAAGGGGTATCTGGTCCCTGCCGGACGCTCTGGGACCTGAAAGTCCATGCCCTCGGCCTCTGTATCGTGCTGCCTCCCAGCCTACGGACTTCCTGCTTCGTTGCACGTTTGCCGAGCACCTGCGATGAACCAGAACCCAGGCCGGGGGGCACCGCCCTGCACTCGAGGACATGGCTCTCCAAAGCCGCAGAGGCCGCCGCAGGAAGGGTGGGTCCACGGGGCCCCTGCAGCTTGAGAGGGTGCTGGTGGCCTGGCTGGCGTGGAGAAGGTGCTTAGCAGGTGTTCGAAGCCCAGAGCAGTGGCAGAGTCCTTCTGGTATCCCGTGCACCAGGACCACCAGCCTCGGCTTGCAGAGCTCATCATCACCTCCCGGGGCAGCCCTGCCCTTGCCGAGCCGCTCAGACCCCCCTCTGCAGGGGCTCCAGCCCACCTCCCGTGCGCCCACAACTGCACGCGCCTAGAATTCGTCCTGCGTGAGTGTTATCTGGAAGCTTCTACCAGTGTTTGAGTCTCGTGGCCATGAAAACCTCTACCAGTCGCAACCTACTCTCTTGACTTGTCTTTATGTAAACAGGCTCACGGATGGTCCCACGATGCGCGTGAGCAGACGGAGGCTCAGAGGAGCCACGTAACTTTCCACTGGTCACGGAGCCAGAAGTCACATCTAGACAGCTGGTCCCGTGCTTGAAACTCGTTCGCTCGATTGTTGGCCGTCGGTCCCAAGGCCCCCCAACAGCACACGCTCGGGGCCACCAGCGAGCTGGAGGGAGAGAACGGTATCCCCACCCTCTAGTTCCCACGGACCCCCAGGAACTGGGTGAAAACCATTGTGAAAATATCGAGTGTCTTTTGCTCACTTAATGTTATGGACGCCATCCCGAAAGATGAAATGATAAATTTTGACCTGAGATCATATAGAAACATCACCACTACGCACTGGGGTTTGGAGCACACTGAATTATCATTGTGAAGAAAATTGCTGAAAAGAATATTACGATATTTTGGGGCTCCTGGGCGGCTCAGTTGGTTAAGCGACGGACTTCGGTTCGGGTCGTGATCTCACACTTTGTGGGTTCGAGCCCCGCGTCGGGCTCTGTGCTCACAGCTTGGAGCCTGGAGCCTGCTTTGGATTCTGTGTCTCCCCTCCCCCCCCCCCGCCCCGTTGCTCATGCTCTGTGTCTCTTGATAATAAATAAACATTAAAAAATTTAAAAAAAGAACATTATGATATTTCAATTAAAACTAACAAAATGCATGGGGAAAAAAATAAGCAAAATGAGTAAAAACTCATTATCCTTCCCAAAAGGAGAGGCAGAAGGGAGGGCATTGGTCTAGGACCTAGGAAGGACACTTGGTGCGACCCTGCCGTGAGCCAAGGGCTGGGTACACAGCAGCGGAAAAGCTTCAGTTTCTGACTTTAAAGAGTTGACCTTCTAGACGCGCATTCAGCCACTGGACCTACGGCCACAGCCGCATGCGACGCTCTGTGAGGGGAGCACGCGGCTTCCTAGCTGGAAGGTTACAGGGACAGCCCTTCTAATTTGTTTTAATGTTTATTTGTATTAGGGAGAGACAGAGAGTGAGTGGGCAAGGGGCAGAGAGAGAGGGAGACACAGAACCGGAAGCGGGCTCCAGGCTCCGAGCTGTCCGCACAGAGCCCGACGCAGGGCTCGAACCCGTGAACCGTGAGATGGTGACCTGAGCTGAAATCGATGCTTAACGGACTGAGCCAGAGGCGCCCCGACAGCCTTCCTGATAAAACTGACATTTTAGCTGGGACCTCAGGGACTTGCGGGACAAAGCAGACGATAGCCGAGAGGGGATCAAACGAGGCATTTGGAATATAAACAAACCTGGCGTGTGTGTGCGTGCACGTGTGAGCGTCCGGATGTCTGTGTGTATATTCTCCTGTGTGCGTGCGTCCAGGTGGCTGTGCACAGATGTGGCCGCCCCGGGGCCCACGCGTCTCCGGCACCCGCCGTCCTCCCCGGCCGCGTCCGGAAAGAGGACGTCGGGGACGCTCCGTCGGTGCCCGTTCTGAGGTCGGCGGGGCGTCCGGCCCGAGCCCCCGCTGTCCCGTCTGCTGGCTCCGCCCTCCTGCTCCCCTCAAGCCGCAGGTGGCCACTGGGGATTTGGTTTCTGCAGACCCCGCGGGCCAGGGAAGGCAGCCGGGGTTCTTTCTGAGTCTTAGCCTCACATTTGGAGGTTGGCCTTGAGATGTCGGTTGCTTAGCAACCGCCTCCCGGCCCGGGCCGCCTCCACGCCTCGGGTTGTCTGCGGGCCCCCGGGCAGGCCTGGAGGTGTGTGCTCCCAGGCCGGCTGAACCCGGGGGGGCCTTTCCAGGGGGGCTCGGGGTGACCGCTGCCGGCTCCGCCAGAGGCACAGTGTGGGGGTGTCTGGAGGGCCCCCAGCTCCCCGCTCCGTCCCAGAAGCCCCAGCCAGGAGGGGGGGGGTGGAGGTTGGCTTTTGCAACCCGGCCAGCCCTTGGTTTTCCCAGCTCTGGGCACAAGCGCCCCTCGGGTGACACCGTACCTCCTTCCCCCTGGCTCTGCAGGAGCTCGCTGACCCCCGTTGTCATGTCCAGATGTCCAGGTGTCTCAACACCCAGCGCCCAGGGCCTCCAGTTCTGCCAGACTGCAGGGCACAGTTCGGCTCTGCTCCCACGGGACCAGGGCCGGTGGCCCCCTGCCCTGCCCATCACACCCCGTCGGTTTTATCCCTGGCAACCTGCAGAGTCCGGGTGCCTGTTCCATGTCGTCGGGATTCCAAACCAAAGCTCTGGCAAGCAGGGGGGGCTGTGGCTGCCGCGGCTGGGGAGACGGTCCTCACGGCCAGAGCTCTCCGGGGGCCCCGAACGGCCTCCAGCCGTTCTCCATTTCCTCCCTCCGTGGCTGGGCCTTACTCGGCGCGCACACACGGCCTTCCACGGCTGGGAAGCGTGTCCAGGAAGCCAGGGGAAGTCTCAGAGAAGATGCGGACTGGCCAGCTGGGGTTGGGTCCAGCCCCGAAATCATCTCAGGGGCTGGCTGTCAGCAGGATGAGGAAGCCCGTGACCCATGGTCTCCCCAGGAGCACCACCCTGTCGGCCTGTTCTCGGTCCTTCTGGATGCCTCTCCTGGGTCCTTTCTCAGATTTCATAAGTGGGCTTGTTCCCAGCCTGCTGCTCCCGACTGCCTTCTGCTCGTGCCCCTGTCCCCTGCAACCAGGACTCCCGCCAAACCCACCCCTGCCTTCCCTCCCCGCCCCACCCCCCTGCCCCTCTCATCCTGCAAATCCTCCCCGGCCCAGTTCATACGCCACCTCCTCCAGGAAGCCTTCCTCAACACCTGTTTGGAGCTCTCTCATTCCTCAAGCCTTACTCCTCCGATCCCCCCTGCTCCTCCCCTCCCCACATGCTCTGAGGCTTGAAAATACAGCACGCAACCCACTGGCCCAGAGTTCCCGATGCTTGAGGGGAGACCTTGTTCCCCGCCGGGGCCTGGACTGGCCCTGAGTTCGCTCACCCATTTTTTTTTTTTTTTTTTTTTTTGGTGCCGCCTCTGTTTCCATTTGGTCCTGGAGAGGCCACGCGAGAGAAGAGAAGGCGCCCTGGGCTGGGCGGAGGCCACCCGGAGCCTGCCCCAGACCTTGGCCTCGTTTGTTCCGGATCGAGCAGCTAACCACACGCCCGCGGCAGTTCTAGGCGCGGAGGATGTAGTCCTACGCAGAACAGACTCCTTCCTCATGGCGCCGACCTTCTGGTTTGGAAAGATGGGCAATAAATCGTAAGTGAGTCGACGTTTACGATGCGGATGACGCTAAGTGCCGCGGGGACGAGACGAACACGGAGAAGGGCGCAGGGGAACGCGCGCGGCCGGCCATCCACCCGCCCATCCTGCCGCGCGCCCAGCCACGTCTTACCAAGCACCACGCAGAGCCCCGGGGGGTGGGGTGCACACACGGACGAGATTCACCGTGGTGCAGGTCGCCGAGTCCTTCGACTCACCCGGCTCAAGTAGAGTGCCTCGAATGGAGGGGAAACTGCGGACGGTTCTGACCCCCGAAGCTCCGCCTCCCGGAGGGGGCGCTTGGCGGGGCTCTTAGTGGATGAGTAGGAGCTCACCCCCGAGGCTGGGGGGAAAGGCCTTGGAGGGAGAGGGAAGGGCCAGGCTCCGAAGCCCGGAAGAATGTGACGCTCTCGGGGAGCAGGGTATCATCCGAAATGCCTGCAGGGCTGCCTGAGATCCTGATGGGGAGGCAGGCAGGGGCCAGATCATAAAGGGTCTTGTGGCCCACGCCAAGGAGGTCGGGCTTCATGGAAGGGTAGTGGGGGAGGCACTGAAGGGTTTAAGCCGAGGAAGAGCGTAGAGACTTTGGAGGGCCACGTGTCAGCGTGCCGAGCAAGGCGGGGTGGGGTCACAGGAGGGGTCTGTCCTGGCCCATGGGGGCAGGACACCATGGCGGCTGACACTGAGGCCGCGCGGAGGGTGGAAGAGAGGAAGAGAAGGGAGGGGTTGTTGGGAAGGAGCCCGGCCCTGTGGGTGACAAGCAAAGCCAGGCGCTGAAAGGGGAAGCCGAGGGAAAGAGGAGGTCGGAGGGTAGAGGGTAAAATACAAGCCAGGGGCCGTGAACGGTGACGCTCCTGTCGTTTGTCCAGGAAGAGAAGCCAGGGGTCGCTAAAAACAGAAGACCCCTGGTTTCTGCACTATCTCGTTCTCCAAACTCTTGTTCAAGGTCCCGTCGCTCCCTGGGGGAAGGGGCGGGGGGGCTCTGCTCCCTCGACCTGCCCCTCTTTACTGCCAACACCCAGCCTTTTTCTGGGCCCTCTTCCCTCGCCCCAGGAGGCCTCACTCACTGCACACGGGTGAGTGTTGCCGCGTCCAGACCTGCCACCTCCAGCCAAGCGCCTCCCCTGAGCTCCAGGCAGACAGAACATCCCGCTGCCCCAGTTCTCGCCCTGAGCCCAGCCTACGCCAGGGAGGAAAAGGCCGGAGGTGGGGGTTCAGCCGATTCCGTCCAACGATGCCCTCAATGCCCGTCTGTCCTTCCGCTCTGTCCTCCTCAGTCTGGGGCTACGGTCCCCACGGTCACAAAATGGCTGCCGAGATCAAGACGCCACCTCTGCGTTCCGGGCGGGAGGAAGGACACAAAACCCAGAAACCAGGAAATGGTAGCAAACTCTGGTACTTTCACAAGACTTTCCTAGAAGCCATCCCCCAGGGACTTTCACCCACACCTTTTTTAACCAGAAGGGGGCCACCGGGCCTCCCGTGACTGCAAGGGAGGCTGGGACATCAGGCGCCTCTGTGGCGGCTCTGACCGAAAGCGGCTGTTTGCGAGGTGACGGGCAGCGTCTCCTACCGCCTCTGAGGTTCCGCTCCGTCCCTGCTCGCCTCAGCGGTGGGAACAGACGGCAGCCGGGTTCTGGGAGCAGGAACCCCCAGGCCTGGGCCCCGGAGCCCCCTGAGTGCTGCTCCTGGGGTGACCTCGGTGTCTGGCAGTGTCACAGGCACATCAGGGCTCTCAGACTCTTAGCGGGAGCGCTGGATGCGGGTCATCGCACCGGACAGATTCGTTTTGCGCGACGTGTCTGGGTGACGATGCTTCCTTACACACAACCAGAGGCGTCGTCTCCCACACAAATCACTGCCAGGACCACACAACAGCGTTTCCGTTATCTCTGTGCAACCGGCCTCCCCGGGCCGATAAACAGCCGGGCTTGAAACGTTGCTTCTGCAAATTGAACTCTGCGGGGCCAAAGGACTACCATTGCGTTCATTATATTCCCAGAATCCTCCATTTATCCCTGGCCCGCCGCTCCGGTGCCCGGGTGGGTGTGTTTGCTCGCCTTTGCGAAAGCACAGGGCTGGCCAGGCCCGCGCAGCCTCTGGGACCTCTGCTTCCTCCCCTCGAGCGGTGGGCAAGAGGCCCGCTTTGCCCGGGTACAGACGCTTTGCTTCAGACACCCGTGCATTTGACTGCTGGAGGCGCCAACCTGGGGACGCGGCCCCAAGGCCGGGGCCCGGCTCCGGCCCCAGAGCCAATTACCATGTCATGCGAATCCTGGCCTTCACACATTAGGTGCATCGTGGCTGGTCTATTTTTAAAGCCACCAAAGGGATCAATTCGAGCCTGAAATGCTCCTCTGGCCTCAGCACACTCTTTGACTTGGGGCTATTCCTAGACAAGGGGCCTCTTTGGATGGAGGGGAGACGGGGCTGGAAAAGGGGCTGCGGGGACCATCCCACGACCACCCACGCCCCCCCCCCCCCCCCCCCCCCCCTCCGGGGTTGGTATAGGGTAGGGAGGCAGCCCCTGAGCAGGGAGCTGTTGGTGAAGGGTAGGGAGGCAGCCCCCGAGAGTCCCGGGCAGTCGGCAAACACCTTGGGCTCAGCACAGAAGTACAGCCAGGCTCCTTCTCTCTCCAGGCCTTGGAAGCAGACAGGAGCCTCTCTCGGAGACGCTGAGAGAGCTCACGTTGGGAGGGCCCGTCAGTTCCGTATTTGTACGCGAACGTGCACGAGTGCTCACAGCGGCATTATTCCTAACAGTCAGAAAGGGAAAACAACCCGAATGGCCATCGGCTGGCACACAGATACACACAGGCTGCCGTGCAGGTGACCCTGGGACCCGTCGCGCTAGTGAAGGAAGGCCCCGAGAGACCACCTACCGTCTGATTCCGTCCGCAGGAACTGCTCGGAACAGGCAAATTTGTAGAGATGGAAAATGTAGATCAGGAGTTTCCTGGTGGTGGGTGTATGAGAAGGTCAGAGCTAAAGGGTGTGAGTTTTCTTTCCCGGGGTGATGAAATGTTCTAAAATCGATCGCAGTGATGGCCGTGCACCTTGTGAAGGCAGTAAAAACCACGGGCCTCTGTAAATAGGTAAACTGTGTGTGCAATGATCTCAGAGCTATTACCGGCCCCCCCCCCAAAAAAAATTCACTTACAGAGACAGCAATTTCCTTGAATTGGTGGGATGGGTCCTCCTAAAAGACACCGGGACATGGGCTGATGGTAAACGGCGTCTCCAAGGGTGGCTTTGCAGACGGATGGGAGGGTATGGGCCGGAACGTGGCAACAACCCAAATGTCCGTTAGCTGATGGGTGGATACACAAAATAGAGTTTTTCTGTACAATGGCATATATTAGCCATTATCAGATACGTGGTTTGCAAAAAAAAAAGTCTCTGTTCTGTGGCCTGTCATTTCATTTTCCTAGCGGTATCCTTTGAAGAGGCACAAGCTTTTAATCTTTTTAAAAAAATTTTTTAATGTTTATTTGGTTTTCTTGAGAGAGACAGAGAGTGCGAGCGGGGGAGGCAGACAGAGAGAGGGAGACGCAGAATCCGAAGCAGGCTCCAGGCTCTGAGCTGTCAGCACAGAGCCCGACGCGGGGCTCGAACTCACGAACCGCGAGATCATGATCTGAGCCGAAGTCAGACGCTCAACAGACTGAGCCACCCAGGCGCCCCACAAATTTTTAATCTTGATAAAGTCCCGATTTACCTGTTTGTTCCTTGATTGCTGGTGTTTTGGGGGTCACAGTTAAGAAAGTATTGCTGAGGGGCTCCTGGGTGGCTCAGTCAGTTAAGCATCCGACTTCGACTCAGGTCATGATCTCACGGTTTGTGGGTTCGAGCCCCACACCGAGCTCTGTGCTGACAGCTCAGAGCCTCGAGCTGCTTCAGATTCTGTGTCTCCTCCTCTCTCTGCTCCTCCCCTGCTCATGCTCTGTCTCTCAATAATAAATAAACGTTAAAAAAATTAAAAAAAAAAAAGACTATTGCTGAATCCGAGGTCATGAAGATTTGCCTCTATGTTTTCACCTTAGCGCTTACAGTTAGGTCTTCGATCCAGTTTGAATTAATTTCTTTAGTTATAAGGTGTGAGGGAGGGGTCTAGCTTCATTCTTTTGCGTGTGGATACCCGGTTGTGCCGGCATTGTTTGTCGTAGAGATGATTCTTTTCCCACTTATTGGTCTTGGCTTCCTTGCCAAAAATCAACTGACTACCATTGTGAAGGTTCGTATCTGGACTCTCAACGCTACCGCATTAATCTATATGCCTATACTTACGCCCACACCACAGTGATGATCTTCGTAGATCACTGTCACTTTGTGATAAATGTTGAAATCAAGAAGTATGAGTCCTCCGGCTTTTTTCTTCATTTCCAAAATTATTCTGGATATTTGCTTGCTTGAATGTTCATACAAATTTCGGATCAGACACCAAAGAAGGCAGCTGGGATTCTGATCAGGATGCCACTGAATCCACGGATCAGCATGGGGAAGGCTGCCATCTTGCTGATTTTAATTATTCTGACCCCTGAACAGAGGATGTGTTTCCATTGATTTAGATATCCTTTAATCCCTTTCAATAATGTCTTACAGGGGCGCCTGGGTGGCGCAGTCGGTTAAGCGTCCGACTTCAGCCAGGTCACGATCTCGTGCTCCGTGAGTTCGAGCCCCGCATCAGGCTCTGGGCTGATGGCTCAGAGCCTGGAGCCTGTTTCCGATTCTGTGTCTCCCTCTCTCTCTGCCCCGTTCATGCTCTGTCTCTCTCTGTCCCAAAAATAAATAAAACGTTGGAAAAGAAAAAAAAAATTAAAAAAAAAAATAATGTCTTGCAGTTTTCAGGGCATATGTTTTGCGCTTTTGTTAAATATATTCTTATACAATGCTCATTTTCTGTTTCTGGTGTATAGAAATTCAACTGATTTTTTGTATACCGACTTCCCAAACGGTCCTACCAATTCTGATGCATTACCTGTGGCGACAACATCTCCACCCCTATGATCACATTCTCAGTGAATGAAGACAAATCTGTTTCTTCATTTCCAGTTCCCGTGAGCTCTTTCTTTTTGGTGCCCCCCGCCCCGGGTCCTTTTGGGACCGCCAGGCCAGCGCCATACGGGGGTGGGGGGCGAGCGGGCGTTTCTGCCTCGCTGCCGATCTGCCAAAGAAAGCTTTTGACATTTTACCAATAAAGACGTGTCTTCTACAGATCTTTGGGGCAGGGGTCTTTCACCAGGTGAAGGCGTGTCTTTACATTCCTTGTTGTCTAAGAGCTCCTTTATTTCATGAATGGATATTGAACTCCATCGGATGCTTTGTGCCCATCTACCAGGTTAATGGCATGATCTTTCCCCTGTCCTCTGTTACCGTGGCAGACGACCATGAACTTCCCACTGCTAAACCCACCATCGTACCCGCGAGTGAGATTTGCCTGTCATATTTCCTCCTTCTATTGTCCTTCTTTCTGTTCCGCGTCCAAGCAAACCGGCCTCACAAAGCGAGCTGGGCCGCTTCCTCTTCTTTCTCTGCAAGTGTTGGCGGAGGGGAGGCACGCTTGTTCCTGAAACGTGCGGTAGAATTCTCTGGTGAAGCCATCTGGGCCTGGTGTCTTCTTTGTGGGAAGGCTCTTAGCTTTAGATGCGACAGTTACAAGATTGCTTAGATTTTCCCTTTCTTTCTGTGCCAATTTTGGAGCATTGTATTTTTCTGGGAGTGTATCCGTTTCGTGTTAAATCACACAACTTCTTCCACAGCGGCCTCTAGCTGGCTTCCCGTAGCGGCCGTGACGACTCACGACGGAGTCGGCGGCTTCACGTGAGCGCGAATGTATCCGCTCCCTGGCTGGAGGCCAAGACCAAAACGGGTCACACGGGGCTGAAATCCAGGTGTCAGCAAGGCCAGGCTCCCTCTAGAGGCTCCAGGGAAGAATCCAATTCTTGGCCTTTGCCAGCTGCTAGTGGCCACTCGCGCTCTTCAGCTTCCGGCCTCTCCCCTCCCCTCCAAGGAGCATCATCCGGACTCTGCCTTTACCATCGGCCTCCCCCGCGAGCTGATCTCCAGTCCCCCTCTTATAAGGACGCTTGTCATCATAGGTCAGGCCTACCCCCTAGTGCAGGAGACCCTCTCTCCATCTCAAGGTCTTGCATTCCACCCGCAAAGTCCCTTCGCCGTGTCAGGGAACAGGTTCCAGACAGCAGGACCCCATGTCGACGCAGGCCGTTACCCAGCCTGCCGCCCCCTGTCCCCGTCTCTTTCGTGTCTGCAAGACCGTCGACGTCTGCCTTCTCAATCCCCACCTGGCATCTGGGCCCCTTGTAGACAAGGGTGAATGGCCGGACCAGGCCGGCCGGAGCCGCGTGTCCAAAGGGAAATTCAGAGAGACAGGAGCCCTCACCGATGGGCGGGCCACCTGCCCCTCCTTCTGTGCAAGGGCACTGCCATCTAATCTGGACGGATGTCAGATCCCACCATAAAGGGCCTCAACCCCTGGGCGGTGGAACTTTGCAGGATTAGGAAACCGCTTTCCCTGGCCCAGTCACAGGCCGGGATCAAGAGCCGTGTGCTGGGCAGACCCTGGGCCCCAGCTCTGTGCCCGCTCTAGCCCCTCCGGGAGGTGCTGGCCTTGGGAACCTCACCAGGAACACCTGTCTTAAGCACTTGGCTCTACCTGGCGGGAAAGGAGCTGTGGGATGCTTACGTTTTTGCCTGAGGCCAGTCGCCCGGGCTCAGACAAGTTAACCCTTTCCCCGCAAGTATTTTCAAAGCATTAATATCTGTTTTTGTGAATGTCCTCGTACTTGTCTATTTCACTCACCTCGGAGCTCATTTTTATTAGTTCCTTCTATTTGTTTTGGTTTTATTCTTGCTTTTCTTGTCTTTGGGCCCTTGAGATGAATGCTCAGCTCATTAATTTCCAGTCCCGGTTATTTTCTAAAGCATCTATTGACGACTCTACCTCTCTCTCTGAGCCCCGCGCACCTGCCTCACGCACGTTGCCACGCCCTTACTTTTCTTTCCGTTCAGCTCAAATATTATCTAACGTGCGTGATGATTTTTCCCTTGCCTGGTGGATGACTTCGGTGACCATTTCTTAACTCAGAGTTATCTTTCTGTTACTGGTCTCTAACTTCATTACCTCGTGTCCCCAGATCACGCGTTGACTTCAATCCTGTGAAATTTTATTGCGATTTGTTTTATGGCCAGAAATACGGTCAAGCCTTTAACAGTGTCTCTCTCGTCTGGGTCTGAAAATAATATGCGTCCTGCGATTGGACGCAGTCCTCCTTATATGCCAATTAGATCAAGTCCACTGTGTATTTCAAGTCTCTGTGTCCATACTGATGTCTTCTTGTCTGCTTATCGTACCAATTACGGAGATCTCATGACGACTGTGAGTTTTTCTGCCGCTCGGCGTCATTCTATTCCGCCTTAGGTATTTGAGGCTGTGTTACTAGGTGCATACAAACTTAGAATTGTCACATTGTCCTGGTGCATATACCCTTTATCGCTATGAAGTATTTCTATCGTCCAGTGGTTTTTTTCGTTTCTTGCTATTTTGTCTATTATTGATCAAGTTCTACTGATTTTCTTTTGGTTGCTGTTCACTTGACGTAGGTTTTCCTTCCCTCTTCCTTTCCACTTTGCTGCATCCTTAAGTTCCAGACAGATCTCTTGTAAACAGTACGTAGAGTTTTGAAAAATCATTCTGACAAGCTCTGCCTTTCAACTGGAAGATTTGGCCCCTGTAAGTGTAGTCTAATTTCTGATATCTCTGGTTTAAATCCATTGTCTTCCTATGTGTCTTTATTTGTCTAAGATCTTCTATGTTCTTTTTCCTCTCGGTATTTGTCTTTTGGAGTTGATTGAGGTTCTTTTAATTCTATTTTTGCCCTCTGTTAGTTTGTTTTGTTTGTTTTTTTTTTTTTTAATTTATTTTTGGGACAGAGAGAGACAGAGCATGAACAGGGGAGGGGCAGAGAGAGAGGGAGACACAGAATCTGAAACAGGCTCCAGGCTCCAGCTGTCAGCACAGAGCCTGACGCGGGGCTCGAACTCACAGACCGCGAGATCGTGACCTGGCTGAAGTCGGACGCTTAACCGACTGCGCCACCCAGGCGCCCCACCCTCTGTTAGTTTGAATATTCTGTTGTGGTTTTTGTAGAAATGTCAAGACCTCTCCTTTACAGAGACAGAATGCGAATTGCTACTTTTCCACTTTCTCAGACAATGCAAAGGCCTGAGATTTGTTTAACTTTACCATCTTCCCAATTTGCATGCTCTGTGTTCCCATATGTTATTTCCACGCATATTTTTAAAGTTTTTTTTAATTTATTTT